ATACGCCGTTCTTGGGCTGAACGGCACACCTCCATTTACCAACAGGTACATGCCCCTGTTATTTCTTTTCATGGGCATTGGTAATATTCTAGGACTGTCCCGAGGAAATGTACCGAGGGCCTGATTGAAGAAAATTGAGAAATTAGTTTGAAGACGAACGAGACGAGCGGACGCCATGATCATGCAACAGTCAGTGCACCCATTACAACTCGGTTACTTGGCAACTCGCTGTCGGCGCCACTTGTGCCCCACTCGGATGCACCCTAGTACGAGTACTAGGCTGGTTGCGATGAGCGCTCTGCTGGGCCGTGTGACGGCAGGGTGGCCGGGGCGCGGGCGGCCAGGGCCACAAGCAGGAGAGGCCCCCCGCAGAGCCAACACGTGAGTCCAGAGGACGCGTGAGTGCGAGCGAGAGGGCGAGTACTACAACCTCGCGGTGTGCCTCCGCAGACACTCGGCGCCCTCGGGGACATCTGGTCCACCCCCTGGTGCGCACCCCGGAGCAACCGGGCCCACCCTGGGAGGGCACAAGACCTTCGACGACACCGCCAAGGACGTGCTGTTCGACATGTTCAAAGGCCCGGACGAGCGGGTGGCCATCGGCAAATTTCTGTCGGTGAGTGGTCGGAGACATGCAACCACGTGAACGGCCCGGAAATGACGCGACGTGTTGGCGGCGGGCGGCCAGTGCGGCGAGGGCGGAACCATGGCGGCACCACTGCACTTCACTTCACTTTGGCGGGTCGTTGGGACCTAAAGGGTGCCGGAGACATCGCCACACGGCTGGGACGAGGGAACTCCACCTCTTGTTCGGGCACGTTGTTTGTGCAACATCCCCAGCCCGGCACAGCCCGGTGGGAGAGTCCGTAATGACAGACACGGACGGCGAGTGATGTCGCCCGGTCGGGTCGTGCGTGGACGACCTCTCGACGAGATAACGGGAGGGCAATGGGAGATCCACGGCGAGGCGAGCCACCGGCAATGACCGTCCCCAACTGACATGCGCGCCGCTCCCCAAACCGATCACGCGATGTCACTGCACGGGGCTATGAGGATATCAGCATCAGTCAGCCTCTGAGCATGAAGTCACAGACGATACGCTAGTCCAGACCAACTTAGCGAGATTGTTGTGTCGTGTTCGTGGGTGAGAGAGGGGGAGGGGGGGAGGTTGTCTTGATAACACAGGGGAGGGGTTGGGCTGCGACCCTGCCTGCATGCCCAGCCCCCAGCCTGTCGCCGCCGCCTGCCCGCTGCCCGCCGCGCCGCCGCCGGTCAGTGAAAGTGAAACTCCCGGCGGCCACGTTGCTTTACGTTTACGGTTCTTATCGGGTCCATCTTCGGTCCCCGTGTCCACCCGGTGTCTACAAAATGATGCGTTGTGCCGTCCTTCTCTCTGTTCCCAACTCGAAGGGGGCCGGACTTGCTGGGCGTGATGTTTGTTTGTGTAAATAATAAGCAAGGTCGATGGAAAAGAGGGGACGCACCTGGGTCGGATGTGATGGGGGCGGAGGGGGGCGAAGGGAGGGAATCCCGGAAAGGACAACTTGTTAATGAGGATATTGTCTCTGCCGAAAGGTCAGCGTTCATCCTGGTTCAACCAAAAGACTCCCAACGCTCTGCCGGGCTCTTACCACAGACGCTGTCTGCACTGGGGCTGCGTCACTCGGACCCCCGCCTGCGCGAGATGAAGCAGCGCCTGATGGAGGCCGTGACGCCCGAGGACCTGGTGCTGGACATCCTGGACTACGGTCCCCAGCACGCCCGGCCCTCCGGCGCGCCCTCCCCCGCTCTGTCCGCCGCGTGCCCGGCCGCCTGCCTCACCCGCGAGGAGTTCCGCCGGTAACGAGACGCCCTTTACCATTTACTGCCTGCCCTTCCCCCTCCCCCCGCGAGGTGTGACTTAGGTCTGGCTGCTCTCTGGCAGGGTCGTAGGGTCCAGCATGACGCTCCTGTCGCGAGCGTTGAGGGGCCGCCTGACCATCGCCCCGTTTGACGAGTTCTGCGCGCGGATGCGCACCATCTTCGAGCGCTGCGCCGCCAACTGCGAGGGGAGCGTGGCCGCGTACATACCGCAGCTGGCCGTCATGGACGCCCAGAGCTGGGGGGCCAGCGTCTGCAGCGTCGACGGCCAGCGCTTCTCGCTCGGGGACGCCAGCGAGCCCTTCACCCTGCAGTCCATCAGGCGAGTGTTTGTTTGGACCCGACGAGTGCGCCGAGTTGGCGTTGGTCATTCCCTCTCGGCCCACCCAGGAGGGCGGCGGTGTGGCGACTGCGTGGCGTCACGTCATACCGGGCCACACAACTAACACGGGAAGGTTCTCCGGTGACACAGACCAGACGCGGCCACCACAGTCCCCCGCCCCTCCCCCATAAAGTGCATCATCTGCCGTCTTTTGTGACCTCCCCCATCTGCGTCGTT